CCAGAGAGCATACACCTAAGGGAATGTTGTCCTTCAAAGTAGACCCTTGGGGAATTACTCCTCTATTCTAGTGATGTGTTATTGTTAAAGAGGTCTGTCGGATCCTTCTTTTAAAAATTTTTTTGGAGACAGCAAGAGCGGGAGAGCGAGAATGGGGGAGAGGGAGAGGGGGAGGGAGAGAGGATCCTAAGCAGGCTCCTCGCTCAGCAGGGAGCCCACTGCGGGGCTTGATCTCACCACCCTGAGATAGGACCCGAGCTGAAATCAAGACTCAGGTGCCCAACCAACTGAACCACCCACGTGCCCCTATCGAATCCTTAACAGCCCTACAAGCTACTGAGGAAAATCAGTGTCATTACTTAAAGTCACATCTTGGTTTTAAATTACCACTTTATTGAATAAGTTTAACCTAACTTTTGGCTGTTGTGCTAATAGTGTAAATTAAAGAAGCCTGACTTTATAAAGCACCAATTTTTAAGAGTTAAAGTTTTTAAAATTATGCCTGTTAATAGACATGTGTGTGATCACTTGGCTGCCCAAATGTTTGGGAGTGCAAGGAATTAAACATCCCAAGATAGAAATCATACAGGGCTATGTCTAAGCCATGCCCATTGGAAGATGACCAGTCTTGGTGTTTTATGTGGCATTAAGACAAAGTTCTGCCACAACTCTGGAATGTCCCTCTTATGCCGATACTGAATCTATGATTCCAAATTAAATCTCAGCAGGTTAGAATCACATTTGGTGTGAGACCATGATTAAGTAAGACCATGTAGGATGTATGCTTTATTTCTTGTTGGCCAACAGCTTCTTTCTAATGTTCTGTGAAATATTAAGTGTCCTATATAATGGTGCTTTTATGGCTATTAAAAATTATATATGGTATTGCTTTCTATGGATTTGTCACTGAATCTAAACATTTTTTGGACCAATGATATAAAAAAGTTATTCCCCTAAATCCCATAGAATTCTACCATATTAAGAACCAGTTTTTCTTTTTCTTTTTTAAAAAATTTTTTATTGTTATGTTAATCACCATATATTACATCATTTGTTTTGGTGTAGTGTTCCATGATTCATTGTTTGTTCATAACACCCAGTGCTCCATGCAGAATGTGCCCTCTTTAATACCCATCACCAGGCTAACCCATCCCCCTACCCTCCTCCCCTCTAGAAACCTCAGTTTGTTTTTCAGAGTCCATCATCTCTCCTGGTTCGTCTCCCCCTCTGACTTACTCCCCCCTTCATTCTTCCTCTCCTGCTATCTTCTTCTTTTTCTTTTTTCTTAAAATATGTTGCGTTATTTGTTTCAGAAGTACAGATCTGTGATTCAACAGTCTTGCACAATTCACAGCGCTCACCGTAGCACATACCCTCCCCAATGTCTATCACCCAGCCACCCCATCCCTCCCACCCCCGACCACTCCAGCAACCCTGTTTGTTCCTGAGATTAAGAATTCCTCCTATCAGTGAGGTCATATGATACATGTCTTTCTCTGATTGACTTATTTCACTCAGCATAACACCCTCCAGTTCCATCCACGTCGTTGCAAATGGCAAGATCTCATTCCTTTTGATGGCTGCATAATATTCCATTGTGTATATATACCACATCTTCTTTATCCATTCATCTGTCGATGGACATCTTGGCTCTTTCCACAGTTTGGCTATTGTGGACATTGCTGCTATAAACATTGGGGTGCACGTACCCCTTCGGGTCCCTACATTTGTATCTTTGGGGTAAATACCCAGTAGTGCAATTGCTGGATCGAATGGTAGCTCTAATTTCAACTGTTTGAGGAACCTCCATACTGTTTTCCAGAGGGGTTGAATCAGCTTGCATTCCCACCAACAGTGTAGGAGGGTTCCCCTTTCTCCACATCCCCGCCAACATCTGTCATTCCCTGACTTGTTAATTTTAGCCATTCTGACTGGTGTGAGGTGGTATCTCATTGAGGTTTTGATTTGGATTTCCCTGATGCCGAGCAATGTTGAGCACTTTTTCATGTGCCTGTTGGCCATTTGGATGTCTTCTTTGGAAAAATGTCTGTTCATGTCTTCTGCCCATTTCTTGATTGGATTATTTGTTCTTTGGGTGTTGAGTGTGATAAGTTCTTTATAGATTTTGGATACTAGCCCTTTATCTGATATGTCATTTGCAAATATTTTCTCCCATTCTGTTGGTTGTCTTTTGGTTTTGTGGACTGCTTCTTTTGCTGTGCAAAAGCTTTTTATCTTGATGAAATCCCAATAGTTCATTTTTGCCCTGGCTTCCCGTGCCTTTGGTGATGTTTCTAGGAAGAAGTTGCTGTGGCTGAGGTTGAAGAGGTTGCTACCTGTGTTCTCCTTTAGGATTTTGATGGACTCCTGTCTCACGTTTAGGTCTTTCAACCATTTGGAGTCTATTTTTGTGTGTGGTGTAAGGAAATGGTCCAGTTTCATTCTTCTGCATGTGGCTATCCAATTTTCCCAACACCATTTGTTGAAGAGACTTGTCTTTTTTCCATTGGACATTCTTTCCTGCTTTGTCAAAGATAAGTTGACCATAGAGTTGAGGGTCCATTTCTGGGCTCTCTATTCTGTTCCATTGATCTATGTGTCTGTTTTTGTGCCAGTACAAGAACCAGTTTTTCTATATCTTAAACTTATTTACCAGTCTCCTCTAATAAACAGGAGACATAAAGACAAAAGCAACCTTATATTTTATATGCTGAAATTATTTGATCTCTGCACATTAGAAAGACTATTACTTTAACATTTCAATACCTGACACGACTGAAATCTTACCGCTATGTAACCAGTATGAAGTGGCCCCAGGTTTAGATCCAGAGCTTTTAAAGAGCTCAGAAGAGTAGTGTCCCTGTTTCTTTTTTTTTTTTTTCCTTATATGACACCTGAAATACTTGGTTTGGAAACATAAAAAGAATTGATTAAATGCTGCCAGCTTTATCCCGGTAGAAGTGATCTATTTTTTCTCTTAATTCGTATGTGATTTTTTGAACACTCAACTTTAGCTTGTAGTGTTTTGTATTACTAACCTTTGCATCATTCATATAGCTGGCATAGGGCTTTATGTACAAGATAATAGGCTCTCATTAAGTGATTGTTGAATAACACAAGTTGCTTTTACCTTTTATCCCTTATACAGTGCACCTTCTTGACTTTGAAATCATTGTCACTTCTTAGAGGATAATATCCATTTATACTTAAGCTTCATGGTTTGCTTATATAGCTTTGCTATATTATTTACAACGTATAAAAAAGGTGTGCATGAGATCTCTCTGTGATCTAAATGGTAATGAAGAACAGAGGAGGTACTAGCAATTCAGGTTTTCTAGGAATGAAAAAAAAAAAGGTAAAATTCTTATAATTCTTTTTGTTCACCTGAGATTCAAGTTTTATTCCCTGTTCTAGAGTGGATCACTTGGAAAATGATTGGGGTGTGAAGGACCAAATTGTTTGAACAAAACTTAAATCACATATTATTAAGACTGGCAGAACACCTGAGTTAAAAAACTGCAGAATGGACTATTTATGTTAATAATTTTTAGAGGAGAGAAAAATCATGGATCACAGTTATGAAAGAAAAAAACTGCTTCTTAAAAGATTTATTCTAGGGTTTGAAATGTGTTTATAGATTTGAAAACATGGTATTTTATATAAATTTAAGACATATTAAAAGACCTGTTTGAAGAGCTTCTCCATGCTATTAGCTCCTATTAGAACTGCATTCTCTTTTCTCTATTAAGCATAGAAAGGTAACAGATGAGAATGTCCTCTTATATTGAACTATTCCTGTCTGCCTTGGTGGTTAGAGAAAATCAGGTTTGAAGGAAGGACTTGCTGAGTCCTGTGATAGGGCTAAAAATAAAGCAGGTAGAATCACAGCCAATTTGAAAGAAAGATTTTCTCTTAAGTTGCAGATGATCATTTTGTTAAAAAAACACGAACACTATGAAATCTGCTTTAAAGCATTTGAATTTTTAATTAAAATAATTCAGCGATCACACTGGAATCATGAAAAGGAATTACATTGAAGATTCTGTTTTTCTTGCAGTTATGCTGTCTTAAGGTTGAAGAATTGGTCTAAAGAAAACACCACTGTTGTTTCTTACTCCCTCTGACTTTTGATCAGGATAGAACTATAAGAGAACCAACATTCATTAAGGAAAAGTGGTTCATAGTGGGTTACCTCTGAAAAAACCAAACCAAACCAAATCACCTAAAATAGGAACTAAACTAAAAGGAATTACAGGAGTCAAAATAACTGTACTTAGAAACCTAGTTTCATTTAATTAAGGACACAATTTAAAGAGAAAGGTATGTTTACTTTGTAAAATATACCTGATCAAATCCAGTGATCAAATCCAGTCATAAAGATTTAAAGATTTTTTTTCTTGATTAGTTAGTAAATAAATATACAGTCAATTTTCAGACATGTAACTGAGATTAAAGTATATCGTTACAGAGACAGGCCAGGCGCATTCCTGAGATAGACAAGCACACAGGGAGATTTGGGACTGTGTCCTTTTTTTCTCATGCAAATCCTGATGTACTTGATGCAAATCCTGATAGGCTGAAGCTGCATTTTCTACAAATTGGAAAGGCTGAGTCAGTAACTGATTTATTGTCATTTTTGTTTCTGTCGCCTTTGCAGTCTCATAGATGCCCTTTTCACTGTACTTGCGTCCTGCACATTGGTCTCCCACTCTTCGGTGCGGGCCTGGGGGCTCCCGCATCCTGTGACCCCAGATGCAGCAGAATGCCTTTTCTGCCTCAGATAATCTTTTGAGCTCTCGGGAGCAGTCCTAGGGGAGTCACTGAGAGACATAAGTTGATTTTCTCCTGCCAGACCCGACAAAAGGGCTTGAGTGTTTATCAATGCGAGTTCTTCGTCTGCTATTGAATCACTTTCCAAAAGGGAAAGGTCATTAAATTTAAGTGGAGTCATCTGAGGAGAATTCAACTCTTTCTTCTTTATAGGTGTTTTGTATTTGGTGCCGCAAGCCCGTGGTGGCTGAAAGGCCTTCTGTGCAGCTGGAGAAACAAATGTACAAATGGGACTGACAGGCGGAGGTAAAGGCAGTCTACTCAAAAAATCCAAAGCTTTTCTCTTCTTGCAGCTTTTTGGGTCATCCATCTCTTTCTCCCCTTTACAATAAGACTTTGAAATCATTTGGGCTGATCCAGGTGTGGAAACAGACTTCTCTTTTGGCTTACGAAGTGATAAAGGACTCTGGTAATTCATCTCACTACTGGGAGAAGACATCTGATAAAAAGACAAAAAGCAGCCTAGATAATTATGCACTAATATATAAAACATCATCAAATTAGCTTTTCATTAGAATTATTTTTTTTAAAGATTCATTTATTTTAGAGAGAGAGAGAAGGGGGAAGGGGCAGAGGGAAAGGGAGAGAGAGAGAATCTCAAGCAGACAGACTCCCCAGAGTGTGGAACCCGAAGCAGGGCTCGATCCCAACCCTGAGATCATGACCTGAGCTGAAACCAGAGTCGGACACTTAACTGACTGAGCCACGCCTGCACCCCTCACTAGAAATATTTAAGCACACAAATACCACACACGTTGTCACTCCCCTCATGACTCATAGGTCAGATGATTCCAAGAGACCTTGATATGATTGTGCTCATTCCAGAAGAAAATAGTTTTGCATAAAAAGATACAAAAATGACAGGAAAAGAAAGAAGAATGAAGACTAATTGTACTAAAAGACAAAAAAGGAGGTAGGGGAACATAACTTATGCACTAATCTTTTCTTTTTCATTAACAGTTTAAACAAAGATAAGCATTTTTAAACCATTTTAAGAGCACAGACTGACTGGGTTCTAGTAGGTATACTTTTCTAGTTTTGTGACTTTAAGCAATTGTTCAACCTCTCTAGGCCATAGTTCCCTCATTTGTAAAGTGGAGATAATTTCCATCCCATGGATCGTTGTGAAGATTGAGTTAACATAGATATACCTAGCAACTGTTAGCTACTTAAGAATTAGTCATCAGCCAGTATTACAGACCTTATGGCTTGATGTGCATGTGTTGTGATTTAAAGAGTTAAATCAAACTGAGCTTAGAAACAACCCTAATTGTACAGACTAGTCCTCCGAGTAAAAGGACACAAGCCAAGTATTTTCCATCACATGTACTTGCAAAGTTAAAAATGAAAGCACCTGTTTGTAAAATGCCCCCAAAGAACGTTACATTCTGGCTTTGATAAACAAGATAGAATTTCTAGATAACCTAGACTTACAGGAGACAGATAACAATTAACCACACTTTCTAGGTAAGTTTAATTACATTTTACCATGTTTACTAGGTATACACCAAAATATATTATTGCCTTCATTTATAATATTAACAAAATTCCTTAAATTTACATTAACTTACCAGAAATTTATTTCCCATGCCAAGGACTGTTTGAGCAGTGTGTGGCTCTGAAGCATAGTCTTTAGTCGGGGTGGACAACTTGGGAGCGTTTGCATTAAGTATATGCATAAGTTTGTTTTCTGCATCATTGCAAAACATACCAATATTCTAAGAAAATAAATGGGAAAAGCTGTTTTGTAAAATGAAAATGGACATAGTCATGTTTTCAGAAAATGTTACTTTTAAAACCAGAAATGAAAGATTCAGACCAGAAGAAAAATAATGACACACCCCAAATTTGATAGCAATTGTCAAACAATCTGCCAGTGTAAAAATGCAAAGCCAACACAGTTGTTGGAGGGAGAGAGGGAGTCTGTATGTCAGGGAAGGAAAGAGATGGGAGAGATCTTTCCAATCATCCAGTTTAATAAGCAAGGTTTCACATGATACTGGATTCATTGCTGGAAGATGGTCTCAAGGTCCAGCTCTATTTCCTACCTGCTAGCTGTAAATCATCCAACATCTATAGAGTACGCCTTAGGTTAGTAGTAAAATGAGAGAATCACCTCATGTCTGTTCCAAGAATTAACTGAAACAATGAGTAGGTTAAACCACATAAAACTGTTGTTTCAGAAATTTCAATTGGTCAAATACCAGCAATTTTATAGGATTTAACCTAATTCATGAGAGTATTTTGTAAAACTTAAAAATGCTATGTAAATGACAGTCAGTTGTCTCTGAAGTACCCTTGAACAGTCTCCGAGAAAACCTGGATGTACTCTGTATGGGAGCCAAATAATGAATGCACTCCCCACTCCACCCTCCAGTTTAGAAACCAGATAAATCAGGGTGTTATTCTTCACTATGTGTACTGAGTCTTTAGACAAAATATTACACAAACCTCCTTCACATAGCTGGCTACTCTAATGCTTTTAAAACGTAATTTTATTTACACATATTTTGAATAACACACATTTCAAATATTAAAGAGGCTTATCTTGAAGATTCTTTACTAGTTAGCAATTTATAAAATTCAAAATTTTATTGGAAGGCAGCACTGCAAAGTAGTTAATAGTTTGGGCTACGCATTCAGATGGCTTAAGTATGAATCCTGCTTCTAACAACTTGGCTGTGTGCCTTAACCTCTCTGTTTTTCATCAATAAAATGGAAAAAAGCTCCATACCTCATAGAGTTGGTGGTAGAATTAAATGCGACAGGGCTGGAACAAGGCCTGACACACAGTAAGCACTCTAAACTTTAGCTAATATTATTACTTGCTGTTTATATAGATTTAAGGATAAAATGCATACATTATCCAGGGAAAATAAATTTCAGTGTTCTATTTGGGAGTATTTCAAATCAAAGATATAAACTATAAAATACTAGATATGGAGTTTAAAATGTAAATTTGGAATCGGCATGTTATTAACTAACTACACTACCAACTGCTCTGAACCATGGGTAGCTCCTATAATTCTTGTTGCTCACATGATTTGTAGCTCTGAACGTCCTCCTCACAGTTTCCCCTCACTCAGTCCCCTCCAAATCATCATCTCTCAGCTGTTGTCCTCCTATCTCCTCAGGCTTATGAGCACTTTATACAGGATGAAACCGCATTACATTGTATCTCAACTATCCAGTTTTCATAGAAGCCACCATTTTCCCTTAATATTTGACCATCAAAATAGGAAAATACCAAAATGCGTGGTAATGCACAAAGTAATTTTACCTCGATAGTATTTTTCATTTTGTGGAATAGCTCTTGAAAATGGCCCTCCTTTGGACTGGCAGAAAACCTGGAAAAATCTCCAGCAAATAAAGTAGGAATTCCTGATTTGGCTTCTGGTCGCCACTGGAGGTTGCTTGCAGCAATTAATGTGTGAGGTTTAATAATGTCCTCATTAAGATCGGCCCAAAACTTTATTGCCAATAAATTATGGCATTCATCTGACAAATAGACCAAAGGAGCAAGACCTAAAGAAACAAAACAAAACACCCCACTTCATTATATATGTTAGGTAAATTTAAAAAATGCAAGGAACTTCTAATATGCCCATTTGTTTTGGTATGCTAATGGTAAAAACAGATCAAACTAACTAAATTTAGAGAAAGCTCAGGATTTCCAAAATAGCCTGTTGCTTATCATGCTAAAATGTTAATGCCAATATGACAACATATTCTATTACTGAGGCCATGGGGAAGGAGGTTCTCTGTTGGTGGGAATACAAATTTGTGCAATCCTCTGGTGAAAAAAATTGGTAGAACCTAGCAAAGTGATGCACGTTTACCTTTCCACTCAGCAACCCCACTCTAGTACTCTATTCTGAAGATGTACTTCCAATTATAGTGAGATACATATGAACAAGGTTCAAGAAAATAGTGTGTATGAGCTTATTCACTGAAGCACCGTTTGTAGGTAATTATAAACGATTTAAAGCAGCCTGTATTACGCAAGAGTAGTATGGCACATTCAGACAACACTTACTATGCAGCTGTATGAAAGAATGAGGAAATGCTCTGAAAACACAATGGTCCAAAATCTTGGGGATGAAGCAAAAGCTGTTCTAAAGAGGGAGGTTTATAGCAATACAGGCCTACTTCAAGAAACAAGAAAAACCCCTAATAACCCTTACACCTAAAGAAAATATAAAAAGAACAAACAAAACCCAAAGGAAAGAAATTATAAAGATTAAAGCAGAAATAAATGAGACTAAAAAAAAAAAATTCAATGAAACCAGAAGCTACATCTTTAAAAAGATAAACAAAATTGATAAACCAGACTAAAGCCAGACTCACCAAAAAAAAAAAAAAAAAAAGAGAGAGAGAAAGGACTCAAACAAAATCACAAATGAAGGAGGAGAATAACGGACAGCACAGAAATACAAAGGATTAGAAGAGAACATTATGAAGAATTATATGCCAAGAAATTAGACAACCTAGAAGAAATGCATAAATTCTTAGAAACATGTAACCTTTTTTTTTTTTTTAAAGATTTTATTTATTTGAAAGAGAGAGGGAGAGAGTAGAGCGCACAAGCAGTGGGGACAGGGAGAAGCAGGCTCCCTGCCAAGCAGGGAGCCCAACATGGGGCTCAATCCCAGGACCCTGAGATCATGGCCTGAGTCGAAGGCAGATGCTCAATGGACTGAGCCACCCAGGCATCCCTGAAACATGTTAACCTTCTAAAACTGAATCAGGAAGAAACAGAAAATCTGAACAGACTGATTACCAGGAATGAAACTGAATCAGTAATCAAAAAATTCCCCAATAAACAAAAGTTGATGACCAAATGGTTTCACAGGTGAGTTCTACCAACATTTAAATAAGAATGACTACCTCTTCTCAAACTATTCCAAAAAAAGAGAAGAGGAAGGAGAACATCCAAATTCATTCTATGAGGACAGCATTACCCTGATGAACACAGATGTAAAAATACTCAGCAAAAGATGAGGAAACCAAATCCAACAATACATTAAAAAACAAACAAACAAACAAACATTCACCACAATCAAGTGGGATTTATTTCTGGGATGCAAGGGTGTTTCGGTATTCACAGATCAATCATCATGATACATTACATCAATAACGGGAAGGATAAAAACCATATGATTGTCTCAACAGATGCAGAAAAAGGATCTGACAAAGTACAGCATGTATTCATGATAAAAATCCTCAACAAAGTAGGGTTAGAGGGAACATAACTCAACATAATAAAAGCCACATATGAAAAACACATAGCTAACATCATATTCACTAGTGAGAAACAGAGCTTTTCCCCTAAGGTCAGGAACAAGACAAGGGTGCCCACTTTCACCACTTCTTATTCAACACAGTACTGGAAGTCCTAGGTGCAGCAATCAGACCAAAAAAAAAAAAAAAAGAGAGAGAGAAAAGACATCTAAGTTGGTCAGGAAGAAGTAAAACTTTAACTATTTGCAGATGACATGATACTATATAGAAAACCATAAAGACTCCACCAAAGAACTATGAGAACTGATAAATGAATTCAGTCAAGTTGCAGGATTCAAAATTAATACACAGAAATCTGTTGTGTTTCTATGTACTAATAATGAAATAGCAGAAAAAGAAATTAAGAAAATCCCATTTACAATTGCACCAAAAAGAACAGAATACATAGGAATTAAAAAAAAAAAAAGAGAGAAAGCTCTCTATTCACTGTTAAGTGAAAAGAGAAAAGCACACCAAAAAAAGACTAAAATTCGTTACCCTTCATATAAGAAAGAAGTTGCTATAAGAAGATATATACATGTATCTTTCCACATGTAGAGAACAAACACAGGAAGGATAAACCAGAAACTACAGAGATAGGATGTGGGTAGAGAGAAGGGAAGGAATAGCACTGGGGTAGAAGGGATGAGAGGGACTGACACTTCTTGGAGTATGCCTTTGTGCAGCTGACTCTTAGAATGCAGTATTTCACACACCCTTCACATAGCCCACAAACAAATAAACCCAACCAGATAGGAAATTCAAAATGGAACACAAACATCTTTCCTGGCCTTTCTATCTAAAAGGGCCTAGAAGCAATGGTACCTCTGAAGTAATGAGTACATAGTCTAGCAAGCAGATGTTGGCTGTAAACAACATTTTCTCAAAAAAAAAAAAAAAAAATCCAGGGTTCCCTGGAGAAGTAGTTGATTCAACTTGACTGGGGCAAGGAACATACAACATGAACCTGGAACATCTCGTTGATGCCAAACAGTAAAGAGGTGCTCAAAAAATTACAGGAGTCAACCTGAAAAAATTCCTAAATGGCCGAAACTGAAACAATCGGAGCAACAAAATAATGCAGGTATTGAATTTTAACCCACAGAATGAAATACATATTCATTAGTCCATACTGATATAAATCAATAAAGAAGTAAATTTGGGGAAAAGAGGCAGCTCTTACAGTGGAATTCCAATGAATTCCAATAAATGGAAAAGAAAAAAGGAAATCAGGCAAATACTACAATAAAAACTGTTGCAAACAAAATCAGCTGATGGATGCTGAAATTAATTGGTGAAAGTCTGAGGTGAAATAGGACTTGCACAGTCTCAAAGAATCTGCTCCAAGGTTAAGGTGGCAGACACCACCTTAACCAAATGACCAAGGTTGCCACTCTCAGTAATAAGCAACATCAACTTCATTAACCCCTTGATACAAGAGAAGGACAGGCACAACACTGTTTCTGTGGTAATTTTGCCAAACATGCATAAGCTTATTCCAATCATGAGAAAACCTCAAACCCCAAATGGAGGGAAATGCTACTAAATAATTGATCAGTCTATTCAAAAGAGTCAAGATCATGAAAAACAAGAGAAGACTGAGGAATTATCAAAGACTGGAGGAGAATAAGGAGAAATGATGATGGAATGAAAGTGGGATCCTGGAATAAAAAAAGGAAAATAGCATGACAAGCTTCTAATTCAATTACATTCTATAGTGTAGGTAATAATAGTGTGCCAATGTGAACTTCCTGATTCTGATCATGGTACCATGGTCATGTAGGATGCTTACATTAGGGGAAGCTGGGTGAGAGATATTTGGAAAGTCTGTATTATTTTTGTAACTTTTCTGAAGGTCTGAAATTATTCAAAATAAAAAGCAAAAAAATTTCAATGCCAAAAATGGGAAGGGACCACTGGATAAGCCAGGACAAGCCTAAGGCACTAACCATTCAATCCTACTATTTAGAATTCCTTGTCTCTGTTATTGTAAGAATTATGTTTCCCTTTATAAATGACAGGAATGGATCCCATTCTTAGATAATGATTTGTTTATTCTATTGCAAATGATGGTAATTCCTTTTATTTCTTTCAATTTTATAAGTCGATTTATTTAATGGATTTTAATCTTAAATATTAAAAATTGCTTTTAGAGAAATTATATTTCCCAAGCATGTTCAATTTTCTAATTTTGGAATTTGCCTCTCATTATATTCAAAACTTGATTATAGCCCTTCTATCAAATGCCCTTCTTTAAACTATGTTTTTCAGGTGCCTGGGTGGCACAGTCGGTTAAGCATCTGACTCTTGATTTCAGCCCAGGTCATGATCTCAATGTCCTGAGACTGAGCCCCACATTGGGCTCCACACTGAGCATGGACCCTGCTTAAGATTCTCTCTCTCCTTCTCTCTCTGCCTCTCCCCCTCCCACTTGTTCTCTAAAACAATGAAAACATAAACTCTGTTTTCCCCCAATTATAAAAGTAATACACGTTTACTGAAAAACATTTAGAAAATGCAAAATATAAAAATAAGCTTCCAGGATAGTTTCCTCACTTCATTTTTTCCTAGAGGTTTCATAGCTAAATCAAATCATATATGTTGGAAAAAAAAAACAAACAGAAACTTTACTTATTTCTCTGATTACCACGCATCTTGTAAAAATGGTAACAGTTGGAAGAATTTTTTAAAGTAACACTTTTAGAATGTTGGCACTAAAAAAAAAACCTGAAAATAAAAGTATAAGAAGAAAATTATCTTGTTGGTTTGTAGTCTGGGGTTGCTCTGAACTTATGCTGTACCTTTTAAATTCTTTTTAGAAAATTTCACTGAAAGGATAAAGCACGTAGCAGTTGCCAAACCTCCGTTCAGGAATTCTCCAGCCAGCGATGTTGTGATGTGGGTGCAGAGCCCTCCATCTTCAGGTCCAGCCTGCGCTTTCAGGGAGCGCTGGTTATGGCCCGCTCCCACCTCGGCTCCCTCTCCCAGGCTTGCCCTCTGCTGTAGGGCCCCGCTCTCTGGAGGAAGCATGCATCCAATGACTGGCCCCTAGCCTCAAGCCGGCATGACCCTGAGGGCCATGCTCGCTGCAGAGTCCCCACGGGACACAGAGGTGCTGTTCCTGGGGGCGCTTTCCAGGAAATCTGAGGGTTTCCCAGGGAAACTGACCTAAGAAGTGGTCTCATTTAAGTAATTCACTTTATACCAGTTTTTGTAATACAGTAACAAAACAGACTGAATGCTACAAATCCCTACTTTAAGTCCAATTCTCAAATGGTTGGGTTGGGTTTGGGTTTTGTCAGAGGGAAGTATAAGAAAGAACACATAAGCATTAGAGCCTGAAAGTATGGGTTCGAATCCTTTACATAACTGTGACCTTGGGCAGGTTACTTAACCTCTCTGAGCTCCAGTCTCCCCATCTGTAAAGTGGAATGATAACAGCAAATGAACAGTGTTACTATGAGGACTTTATGAAATTCTCAACAATTACCTGCTCCCCCACCCTGCCCTGCCCCACTTTGTTAGACGTGGGGACAGAAAGAAACTAAAACAGAGTCCCTGTCCTTGAAGAGATCACAGTATCATGGGTGAGGAAGAGGGTCAGGAATGTGGGCACAGGCCCGGGCCATGTGATGCATGTGATGGGTGCCGACCCAGCGAAACACATGACACGCTGCGGCAGCTGAGCAGGGGAGCTCTGACCCCGGCACAGGCATCTGGCTGGGGGGTGGGAGGGGGGCATGTAAGCTGACTAAGGCATGACAACCTTTCTTCAATTCTTCACGAAGGGAGGACAAAGGGCATTGTAAGCAAAGTGAACACATATTTAAAGGTAGGAAGTGCTAAATGTTCTATATAGTGGGTCAGGAACACAAAGTCACAACAGTTGAGCTGAGGTGTGTGGGGTGGTGGCTTAAGGCAGGCAGCAGATGAGTTTTTCAGGTATATGAAGGAGTGTGGGTTTCGTTTTCTAAGGGATAGGAGCCACTGAAGATTTTAAACCAGGAGACATCATGATCAGATTTGGGTGTTACGTAACTAGTACTTCAGGCTTAAGGTGGCACTTTGAAGCTTTCTATAACAGAATTTTCTTCCTCTAACAGTTAACATCAAACTAAATAAAAACAGAAAGAAATGTTCACCAAAAACACAAATGAGGGATACCCTGATATAAAATTTAAAAATTAATGATCAAGGAAAGAAACAAGATTGTGGATGAGGCCAGGCACAGAAAGGCTCAGCTTCTAATTCCTTTCCCCAAACTGGTAAAATGACATGAAGCTTGAGAATGTTATTACCCATAAACCTAAAGGAAAGCAAACGGCCTGCGTCTCCTTGCCTTCTTCCTCTTCTGATCAGAAATAATGAAAATGGCCGCAGGGGAAGCAGGTGACCAGGAATGACTGATAGAAGTGAATGTTCCAGGGTTTAATGGGTTGAACTGTGCCCCACCCAAGATGCTAAAGTCCTAACCCTCCGTACCTGTGAATGTGGCCTTATTTGGAAACAAGGTCTTTGCAGATGTAAGCAAGTTAAGATGAAGTCATTACGGTGGATCCAACCCAATGTCCTTATAAAAAGGGGAAATTTGGACACAGACACGTACATGGGGAGAATGCCATGTGAAGACGAAGGCAGAGATCGGGGTGATGCACCTATAAGCCAAGAACACCAAAGAATGCCAGCAAACCATCGGTAGCCAGGAGCAAGGCACTGGAGAGATTCTCCCTCACAGCCTCAGAAGGAACCAACTCCGCTAACACCCTGATTTTGGGCTTCTGCTCTCCAGAACTGTGAGACAATACATTTTGGTTGTTTAAGCAACCCATTTGTGGCACTTTGTAACAAAGTGTAGCATAGCAAATTAATACCCAGGGTGACTCACTCAACTGGGGAAAACAATGTAGAACAGAGATAGTATCTTCCAGGGATACACAACATACAGTGGAAAGAAACTCAAGTACTCAGCCATCACACGGTAACCAAGAGGGGAAGACAATGATTTGGGATATGGCAGAAAGTCAAGACCCGCCTTTTCCTCTGCACACACCTCACCTCCTCACCACTATGTGTCCTGCCCGGGGCCATCACAAGTGGTTTCAGGTCAGTCTCCACAAGCAGCCAGCTCCCAGGTCCTGCTGTATTCCCTGGGCTGTCTCCAGAAAGCTCTGCACAATGACTTCTTTCACACCATCTCCTACCTCTCCTTGTCTCCTGGAGCACCTTCCCTGGACAAATCTCCACTCCGCTCAACCGCTCCCGTAACTGCTGTCCTTACCAGCTTGCTGGCTCTCCTCGGATGCCACGGCTGCCCCTGCAGACCTCTTGTGCTCCTGGCAGTCAGGCTGGGGTAGGTGACTCCCCTGCTCCTTGCAGGCTGCTGCTACCCGCCCCTAGAAAGCATTCACCCTCCTCACTGGGCCTTTCTCATCAGTATACACCATCTCATCAGGCTGCTATTGGTTTTTTCATCGGAAAAAACATTCTCTTGATCCCAATTCTCCTCCTTGTGAGTGCTCCATTTCCCTTCTTTGCTTAAAGGATGATCTTCTTGAAATGGCTGCATTCCATAACCTAATATGCATGCCTCTCCGTGCGCCCAGTGCACTCCCTGGTGCTGAAGCCAACAGTCCCTTCCTGGCCCTCACCTCGCTGTCTCGGCTATCAAATACCATCTGAGACTGAATCACTCTCACCCCTCCAGGATTCTTCTTCCCTCTGCGCTTTCCGTGCAGCTCACTCTCCTAAGTACTTCTGCCATCTCTCAGTGGCTCGTCCTGTTTTTTCCACCGAGTCCTTTACATCTCTCTGCCTGCCTCTAAACACCAGCGTGCCCGAGCCGCTTCTCCAGCTACCCCCACATCCAGTGACCTCGGCTGCTCTCACAGCTTTAAACATCACCTGTATGATGATGACATCCCAATTTATCTTTATATCTTAGCCCAGACCATTCCCCTGATCAAACTCCTGTATATCCAACTGTCAAGCAGAAATCTCTGTTTATACTAAGTGCTAAAACTTAACTGACCAAACTGAGCTCCTGACCCTCAGCACATACCCTGTTTTTCTTGCACTCTTCCCCTCTCAGTCAATGGCAACTCTTTTCCCAGGTGCTCAAGCCAAACACTTTGGCATTGACTCCTTGACTCTTCTTACCCTACCTACACTGTCCGCCTCCTTCAAAATACAATCAGAAACTTGCTTACATGTGGAATTTAAACAATAACAACAAAAATAAACAAAAAAACCCCCCAAACTCATAGAAAAAGGAATTAGACTGCCTGGTTGGGAAACAAATCTGCCCTCTGTGTTGGAGACAGACACGATCTCCATCCTTCCAAGATTTTCTGCTATGCAAGCATTCTTGAAGTAAGAGTCTGAGGCAATGGCTGCTATAAAATGTGCATAAACATCACAGAGAATAGCCTGCCAACACCAGGAACTAATGGGACGAGGGGAAAATAGCTAGCAAGGTGGTGGATTTTAATCCAGCCATATTGATCATCACATTAAAGCTGATCAGATTAAACAAACCAGTTAAAAGACAGGCCCTCAAACTGCATAAGAAAACAAGATCCAACCGTGTTGTCAGAAAGCCAATTTAAAGATGTTGGTAGGTTAAAAACAAGGGTGGGGAAAAGATGTACCATACAAACAAGAACTAACCACAAACAAGTAGGAAGAGCCACACTAAAGTGGCTCCTTCCCTAAAAAGAAAGTAGGTTTTAGAACAAGGGACATTAGTCCAGATAATGAGGGATACTGCCGAGAAGCTGGAGGTGGAGGCTTGAATGTTCAATAAACTGCAGAGGCACATGATAATTATTTGTCTAGTAATGCTCCAAAACATTTCCAGCAATTTCTTTAAAATTAAATAGCACAGAATGGCATGGAAGTTCTTACCCTGTAATAATGTAGAATTGCTTTTCATTGAGAATTAAGGTTAAAACAGGCCTACTTTCAAATCACTAGTCACCAAATTTGCTGATTTGTAACTCCAATTATCTTGAGATGACAAATTTTAAAAAATATTATTTTTCAAAAGCATCCATAAGAAGTTACAATTAAAAGTACACTGTGTATTACCTATTTTTTTCACAACAGAAACTACAAATCCTATTAGGTCCACCTCAGAACAAGGTGGTTGGAAGTCTGGATCCAATAGTTTGTTGAAGTAAAGGGGCTCCCTCGGCTGATAAACTTGGAATAGGATTTCATCTGAAGCCTATGAGGGAAAAAAAAAATCAGTGTATGTAGATTCTATAAACTAATATGCATTCATCAAAATTAAAAAACTCTAATGAAAAGTTTGTACCGGTAGTTGCTGATACTGGGTTTTCTTTGTTGCTGTTAGCTGTATATTAGCTTTTTCAGATTTACTTTTAGATTGTGATGTTGCAAGATGATGGATTCTGTATCTCTTTCCTTCTGTTAACAGGGAATATAAATCTGATGATGGACGCCAGATACTCAGTGTAACTAGATAAAGAGGAGAAAGATATAATGGAAGAACTGATAAGCATTAAAATTCTTGTAAAACAAACACCGTAACAACAAAGATCTAAGGATTATAGCATTGTTTTGAGGGCAGTGGTAGCCCATTTTTACTCCTCTGATACAAGTTCACTTTATACTTTATCAAGCATTTGAACTCATTTTATTAATATAGTACTTTAACTTATAAAATTTACATACTGACCTGAATCTTTTTCTTTTTTCCCATAGCTTATGATACGCAATTTCCACACGGTTGTAACATTCCTTGATAAAATTTGTTCTCCTTGCTCAGCAGATTCCATAGCCTTCCTGAATTCCAACTGGATCTGTGCTTGCTTCTTATCATTCAACATCTGTCTGTGATTATTCAAGGCTCTTAACTGCTCTTCACTAAAGTAACCCTATGATCATTTAATATATTAAGGCAAATGATACTAGAATAGAAAGCAAACAAAAAAAACCCTCATCCATTGTAAATGCATCCCTTTAAATGGGGATAAAATACAACAGAATTCGAGTTCACTTTAACAACATGACAATATAAAAATTGAGACTAATATACTCAGCTCATCACATAACAAATATTTTCAGGTGCCTTAACTGTTCATTTATCTTTGTGACAAATTTCCCGAGGGCCAAGACAACCCCCTACTTATAAATGTACTCTAATAATCATAACCACCACCATCGTTATAAATACCTGACATTTGAGTGCTCCCTGTATCTGAGGATTGGAT